ATAATCACAAGGTCAAAATTACCCTAAAGTATTTTTTTTTAATTTTTAGCATTATGGAGAAAATGACTAGCAAATTTTCTAAGTTGCTTATATGTAGCATTTTCTTCCTCAAAATGTTATGTACGCTGTTGTAGATGGTGCTCACTAGGTAGCCACTTACTGCCCTTCATTTCTTCTTTTCTGTGGTAAGAACTTCACATCTTGTGCTTCTTGTGACACAGTATGGTCCGTGACCATTTTAGCTTTAGTGCAATGAATGGTTTCTCTATAGAAAATAGAGAAAAAAAATTCTTACTTTTAAGAAAGGAGATTTAAAGAATAAGCAGCTATGAGCCTGTCCGCATCTTCCATCCTAGGGAAATAAATTTGTTGCTTAGTGGGATACCTTGGATAGTACAATGCTGGTAATGAAGTATGACTCAGATAATAAACATTCCTTAGAATAAGAGAAGTACCTTCTCCCTGACATATGGTTCTTTTTCAATATGTTTTGCATAAAGTGGTAGTGAAAGTGAAGAGTATCCATGATGATGTGAGTTGTAGAAGGAGAGATTTCTGAAGGCTAGATAACCTGAAAATAAGGATTCAGTGAGCTGAGTACGGTGGCATGAATTTGTAATCACCATATTTGGAAGACAGAAGCAGGGAGATCACTTGTTCGATGCCAGACTAGGCTGTGCAGTAAGAGTCTAGCTCAAAGAACACCAAGGACCAGTCAATCATACTAGGCTTCAATAAGAGAAAGGAGTGAAAGAAAGAAAGGAAAGGAGAAGAAGAGAGAGATTTGAGTGGTATGTAAACATACTTGGGACTCACACCCCTACCTCCAGTTCCCTGAGTGTTCTGCCATCAAGTTCCAAGAATCATGGAAGATCCATACCTATACAATGGTAGAAAGCCCTCACCTGTTTCTTTATGGGTATGTCTCCTCAGTAACCCAGAGTCTTCTGTTAATACTACTTTCTAGACAGGACCATTATTTTCATCTTAGAGCTATTCCTGATATTGAGAAAGCAGTATAGTAATATTTTTTTATTCTCATGGCAGTAACTCCATATAGCTGATACAGGGACCTGACCACTACTTAGTAAATCCACTAATAATCTCACCATTAATCTCAATTCACCAACTCCTTTGTAGAAAGCACTCACAAATGATGTGCAGGTATTTACTTAGCCTACTGACATTTTGAGCATAGCCATCAGAATGTTGAGTTAGCAATGTTGAGTGCTAACAATAGCCACTAATATAGAAAGGATGGGAATGATTGTGTTCGTTATCAAAAGGGGCAAACTGGAGTTCAGAGTTATAGTCTTTTGCTAATACCATAAGTAGAAAAACTAGAACCACAACTTAGCTTATTAACATTTCCAGTAACTTACTCTTCTACTAAGAGGTAGCTCTAACCTATGGCCCAGAGGCAACATGTACTTCAATGTAGCTACAAAAAAGCTTAACACGTTTGCACATGACAATGCCAAGAGATTGGGCACTACTGTACAGCACAGTAACTCTCATCATGTCAGTATAGATTCTAATTATTTCGTGATTCTTCTTTACATGAGAATGTCCTCCTTGTTCAGATATATATCATGTCATAGAAATATGTTGCAAAATAAGAATACAGGCTTTTCAAAGCACATAGACATTTTAAATTAAAGTAACATAACTGAAATATTGACTATTCATTTTTCCAATCAGTTTAAATTAGCTGAATGTATGTCTTTAAACTTAAATTCAGCTGTGACTTTCTTAATGCTTGATGTATTACAGTACATCATTTCCTTTTATTTTACTTCCTTTTACATGTCTCACATCCTGCCACATGTATCTGGAATGTGCGAATTGCCTTTTTATATTTCCTTATTTCAAAGAAGAAAATTTTCTCCTTGTAAAATCTATTGAGTAATTCTTTTACTTCTTAAAGGCATGCATAATTTGCATCTGAAAAAAGGATTAAAATTTCCCCACATCTTCTTACTATTACAATCCCCCATAGCATGCCTATAACAAAGTCAAATTGCAGCAAATGTGAAGAATATAAATTGTGAGTCATGTCTCACCTAACATAGGTTCCCTGTCACCATTTAGTTTAGAAAATCCCCATGAGCACACAAGCTGACATGAGTATATTTGGCTTTAACTGTAAGACATTGAAATGATTGTAAGTTCCTTTTAAAGGAAACGAATTTCTTAGCATAAGACATTTCCAATTGATAGCCAAGCAATCCAGAAAAAAATAATTTGAATGAAGTTATGTTCTTTCAATGGCTGTATATAATGGCATATGTTTGGAAGAACCTGGCCTATAACATTCTTCTGATCAGAGAAAAATAACTGGGTAAAATTAACAGTTGTGAAAGAAGAAGGGGAAGACATTTTCAAAAACTGTCTCCAAATCAAAGCTGATTTAGCACTGCCAATTTGATTTCTCCCTTCTAACTCCTCTGCCAGTGCCATGCTCACTTTAGCACGTCAAGCAAGAGAAACTACTGGAACAGTGCCTATTATGTTATGATTACTTACAGCTTCTAGGACAGTCTTGTTTGCATTTTAATTGTGAAAAGGGAATTAATATGATTTCTATAGTAATGCATTTTCAGCTTACCACCACTCCTTATTCCTAACCAGATGGACTTGAGGTGTCAAGAAACCGGAAAAGACAGGAGGAGGGAGGTGTAACAGAAAGTGAGAGGAAAGGTGTAGCCGCCCAAGCTGCCTCACATTGGGAGGGGGGCACTTTGTAACTGCCCGTTCTACTGCTCCGGTCTGCGGGTCAGGGCCTAGCAAGAGAGAGAGTGGGGATGAGAGATTCGAAGAATGGAGACAAGACAGGGAGTCTGATCAAGTCTCTTCAAGTTTCTCTTTTATTGAAAGGAAATCCTGGGTATTTATACCCTTTACCTCGTGCCTTGCCCTCGTGGACAAGCACACCTGAAGGCACTACGTCATGTGCCTTACACCGTGGATATCATGTGTGCCTAGCTAGCAATGTGGAGACCACATGCCCCTAGCTGCTGGTTGCACTAAACAGCAAAACAAGATATGTGAGAAAAACATGATGTTTATTAGAGTGTTGCAGGCTGTTGAAAAACAAGTCTCTTTTCAGGGTATATGGCTTGAGATGGCTGTGAAGATGATAGCTGCTTTCGGCTAGGTGTTGGCTCCCAACAGAAAGGAAGAGGGAAAAAAAAGCAAGGGCAGGAGAGAGAGAGCACAAAGGAAAGTGACAGGAAGTGGAGGGGGGAAGGAGAGGGGAGGGAAGGGGAAGCATGAAGAGAGGGAAATTGGGGCAGAGGGGAATATGTAAGCTGATATAGACCAAATATAAGTACCATAGGAAAGATTAATTATCATTGCACTTCTTGACAGCATCTGTTTCTTCCTTTGCCTGTTTGACCTGACAGAATTCATGATCAACAGTGTTAACACTTTTGTCTACATGGATTGCATAAGAATGGTCTCACATGTCCTCAGTGTACATTAGATGTGACTTTGGAGAAGCCAGACACAGTTTTTGTTTTTTCATTTTCTCCTGTTGTCTCATTTCCTGTCTTCTTCTAGGACTTGCAAAAAAAAAAAAAAAACCACCTCAGGCACAGGTAGTAAGAAAATGATTTTTGCCTATGAAGGCAAAATAAGTGCCAAGTATCAACAGATGTTTTTATATAGTGACAGAGACTGAGGCTTAAGTAAGAAGGGCTTAGATAAGGACTTAGATTCCCAACACTAATGTATGAATGCTGGGAACTGCATGCTGCTATTAAATGCATTGACTTGGCATAAGAGGAAAGAGTTCAATATATTGTATCTCACTAGTGATCAGCTACAATGTCAAGTGCAGAGTGAAGAGTAGCACTGTTAAAATGATTGCCTCAGTGTTCTAATTTACAGCACTGTTCCTCTCCCTTGGACCCTACTCACTTCACAATTCACAAACAAGGTCCCTTAATGGATATTGTTCAAAAATGTCTGAACAAGCCTGAAGGTGGTCAAGCTGCTGCTTCTTTGCTCTCCATATTAAACGTTATTCTGATAGCCTGAGAAAGTCTAGTAGAGTACAGGTTTATTTCTGATTACATAATTATGTTACAGATATATGGAAAAAAATCATCACTTAGGCCTTCCAGGTGCTTAAACAGTTTGATAGACTGTAGCCATTCTGCCATCAGCACCCCCAGCTGTGTTGCTTAGCAACATTTTAATTCCAGAACAATTGAAGAAGATGAAATCCCTGTGGAGAGGGAAACAGAAATAAGAGGGCTGTTGACAGATGATCTGAGTTGTTTCTTCTAATATACTGTGAAGATCACTAGCTCTTTTCATGAATGATAAATGTACTGTACACAGATCAATGGGTTCAGCAATAAACTGGAACCAGTCTCCATGTCTAAGGTGACTCAGGCCATGAGGCCCAGAAATTTCCTCATTTTGAGATTTGGTGCATATTTTCCTAAAGGTTCCAAGGGAAGAAAATTGATCTCAGTATTTGGGAATTCCTCGCCCTTTTGTAATGTCTATTGCTAAAAGTAATTTTGAAAATGAACACTTTTTTTTTGCCTCTCTCTCATGGTGCAGGTGTGGCTAGGTGTCAAGAAGAAAACTAAGGTTAATAGTCCTGTGTCATAGAGGAACCATTTCTTTCCCTCCTCTCCCAGTGCTGTCATTACAGCTCAATCAGGCCCACCTGGGGTAAAGTTAGAGTAAAGGTTAGGAAGGCAAGATCTGCCTGTGCACCCACCAACTTGCATGGCTCCTGCTGAAATTTTCCAGGTGCTCTGACAATGGCCATATGTGTCTGAGCACTTAGATGAGTAACTACATCCCTGGGGAAGAAAATTGTTTTCTGTGTCACTGCTTATCCATGGGAGCCTGTTTAATTCACTTCTAGTGTTTCTAAAAGGCATTTTCTAATTTTATGCTGCTTATTGTTTTGGTTACTAGTTGCAAAAATTATGCCTGCTGATATTGTCTAATTGCATTTTTCTCTCTGTTTGTAGGCTGTTGAAAAGGCAAAACCTAAGAATAATCCTGTGAAGTAAGTTATTATTTTTGCTAGTTGAAAATGTTAATTTTAATGAACTCTGTGCATGGGGAAAAATAAGGTCATAAATGACTTGTATTTTTCATTAATCTCTACTCATGACAATTTGAGAACAAAAACAAAACACAGGGGTAAATCACCCACCAATGAGCAAGGACCAGCTTGTATTTTTTCCATGTGTCCCTGATGAGGAAATGCCCTGAGTTTACACAGTTTACATAAATTAATATGTGCCATCATGAATAGTTTCCAAATACTATTATAATCATATTCAATGCATACTACTTCAAGCCTTTGGTTTTTTCCTCATGCTAAAAGATTACATTTTTAATTGCAAACCTTGGACCTATGACAGAGATGTAAATGCCTGAACATGTGCCAAGTGATCACCAGCCACGTGGGGAGGGTGGCACCTTGGCATCAAGGATTTGGTATTCTGTTAATGAAAAGCTCGTAAAAATGCATTTAACTGAATGGTGTGTAGTGTGGTTGCTAACAAAGACCAATCACTAAGCCATTTTGTAGGACATGCAAATTATAAATAAGACATACAGTGTTATTTTAAATATAGTACATGTTAGGCATCCTGTCTTTTCTAGAAGGGAGATTTTTAAATTAAAATGAAAGACTGCCTTGTCATTTTGGTTTGTGACATTTGATTGCAATGTTATGATGAATACCATTCTGGTCATGGACATGGCCAAGAAAGGACTTGCTGTAGTTACTGGATTATTACAGGTCTAGAACATGTTTAGGAAGGATGTATTAATTTAGGCCAGCAAACTTCCATTATAGCTAGTACAAAATACAGAAATGGAGCATGCATTGATTTTTTTTATAGTTCTTGGAAAATGGATTAACTATGTCAAGAATAAGAAAGTTGTTCCTGTAGTGTGAGAGAATTAGCTTTTCTAGATCATACAGGTAGTATTTAGCATACCCTTAAGTCTAAACCCTGATTCATTTTCCAGAGGTACTGTATGTATACTGTGCTCTTAAGTTTTATTTTGCCTAGCTGACAAAATCTTGCCTCTGTGTAGCCCTTTCAAGACCCTCTACAGTAGGGAAGTATATTGTGTTGTACTGATCCTATGGAAGCCAGTTTAGTAGCTGAGCTTTTAATCTTGTATGGTTGAGGTTAAAATCTTCTCTGAACCCTGGCTACTTTTCTATCTGTATACTATGATAGCTATTCCACTGTAAGCCTGTGTCTGGACAGCTATACAGAATAGAAGATGGTGCTAATGAGGCCAGAGATTCATTTCTCGGTTGTCCATTAGTAATGTTTTACCCCTATAGTCAGACTATACCCTTCTCTCAAGTATGGTCACATACAGATGTGTGCTTTAGGTCACAAGGGGTAAGGCAAGGGCTGTCAAAAGAGAATAAATCTTGCCCAGTTACTCCAAGTTTAAGCTCTTCCTATAGGAAATGAGTTCAAGCTTCATTATTGCATGGATAGAACAGACCATTGTCTCTTTATGGGGCTGGATTGTGTTGTAGTCTAACAACCTGAAGTAGAAACTGTTTTCTATCTGATCATTGTCAAAATTTGGCCCTCCATAAAATTATACATTTTGTGAATTCTTATTAATTTACAATGTAGATTCTTTGTAATACTAGCTCTTTAAAGTATAAAAGAAGATAGAAAACTTGGAAGGCTCAACGTATTGTAAATCTTTCTACTCATAAGTACATTTAAAATGTCTACTTAGTAATAAAGTTAAGTTAAAGTGATAAGTATTTGGAAATGTCTTCTAATTAAATAATTCAGTATTAGTTTAGTGTACTTTGAATCATAATATCAAATCCAGTTGACAGCCACAGCCACTTCAAGAAGAAAATCATATTCCCAAGCTCATTCTATGGGCAGAAACTCTACAGCATTATTTACATTGTCTGGCAGAAGAACAACAAAAGAGTTTTTAAAGTTTAATATGCAGTGATCTTCATATCTAATGACTGTCAATAAATTGTGGTTACATACAGTACATTACACCCCCAAAAAATAACCAAAAATTTGACCCACATTTTCTGTATGAATGAGTAGATTACACATAATTCAGAAAATGGTCTTTCTGGGAAGCTTGCCTGGAGGGTTAACAAAGCTGTTAGTTCTAGCCTAGTAGGTTGCCACCATTAGGCAATAGAAGCTTGTATGTTATATCTGTGTCCTCATGTACTCCCTACTACTCTTATTTATGTCATGTATAAAAATGTGCCAACAATGCTCTTCTTCTTTATAGTTGCTTTTCATTTTAGTACTTCTCTTTAAGTCTCTAGCTAGAATGAGCATTTGGTTGCATTTTTGGAACACGAAGTAGAAATTTTCAGTGAATGCTCAGTGGAAGTTGAGGTCTAGTGGCATCAATAAAAACTGAAATATAAACACAGAGTTGTGAAGATGACTGCTTGATGAGATTTTATATAGTACTTTTGTGCATAATTTGGCAAATACTTAGAAAAATTCAAAATATAATAAGGATATTTCAAGACATGTGAAAACTAACATGACTTTCCAATATCATTATCTACACATGAAATTGGAATTGGAATATAGACTCATTCTTTCATTTGCATATTATTTGTATTTGTTTTTATACTGCAGTAGCAAAGTTGAATAGTTAAAAAAGACTGTATAGAGTGACAAGTGCTTACCATGTACGTCTACATATTACATGTTCACTATCTTGGAGTGTAATTGGACCAGTAGGAAAAGGCAGAACACCTTTTAATGACACTACAGGTTAAACTACCAAGCCTTTTATATTGGGGGATATTAGATAGTAAGTAGACATTTAATGAGCAATTATTAGCCATTATTGGGTGTTCAAGATTTTCTGGGACTGAAATATCCCATAGTTATCCTTACAGACAAAGCAATTCACTCTTCATTGAGGATCCAATGAGTAGATCATCCATAATCAGGCAATAATATCTCAAAAAACCATTTATCTACAATGTACTGCTAGTCTTTCACAATTGAAAGATCATATTGGTTTTCATAAATTATATAACTTCTAGATCTAGCTAAGGCTATATAAATGATTGTTAGGATTGTAGCAAACTATTTACTAGGTCCACTAACTGCTCGGTTTCCTCTTTAAAAGTTCAACCCCTCCATATTTTTCAGCTACTCATTCAATTTATTTTCAATAATTTCCTGGGTGTATGTTCCTTCCATCACTGTGGGAATAACATTAGTAAATATTTCATATAAAAGATAATAAACATATACATGTCTAAGGAATGTAAATGCATAGTATCCCCATGTATAACAATGACCTTACCTTGACCATTAAATATTACTCTGAGAGTAAGACTCAAAGTGATTGTTCCTAAGATCAACAATCAGGCCTAGAGATGTCTGGTTTATTTCTCTATATAATGGAACCACAGTGACAACAAAACTTGAACGGTGTAATAATACTAGAGCTCTGTAATGTGTTGGGAGAAGAGGCTTTCACTTGTGTATTAAAGTGCTCCAGCAATCATTCCCAAGATTGTCATTGTAATAACAAGGCCTGAGAGATGTACAGATTTCTCTCATCATATGTGACGTATCACATGTATTTTTTGAAAAAAACTACAGTTCTGTTATTAAGACATATGTGATTGTATACTTATGAAAATGTGAATTGCTTTTGGCTAAAATCCATGCACTAATAAGCTAAGTTGAATCTGAGGTTGACATCTGCTGAGAGAGAAAAAGAGGGAAGAAGGCATAAAAATTTCCCCTGCATTTGCACTTTAACAACATTGCAGAATGTGGTGGTTGTCTTTCACAAATTAGTGAGAATCAACAGGGATAATGGAATTACAGTTTTATTTGGAAACTGATCTATCTTATAGATATGGTTGTTTCAATATTGAAAATGAAAACAAAAAAGACCCAGAAAGCTTTTCTTGACCATTGTTTGTATTACTATTTGTTATTTCATGCAATGGGTATTTTTATTAAGACCAGCAGAATTCCAGGAATTGTGATGGATGTTGTTAGATACATGAGTAAATCTGACACAAGTCTAATTCTTGAGTAGAAAATTTTCTAGTAGCAATGATAAAAAATCCTTTTGTAAAGAATTAAATAAAAGAGTGATGGATGCCTCTGGTATGCTTAGCACTGTTAAAGTAAGGGGTGGAAAGGTGAAGGAGAAATATTTGTATCAAGAGTGTAAATACTACTGGTTTAAGATGCTCCTTTGAGGAGTAGTGGGGAAAATCAAGAATTGTGACTATCCAGTGGTGTGTAGGTACTGAAGGGCCATGGTGAAAACTCAAGTGAAAGAAATTAGTTTGGTAGAGTCAAATAGCATTAAAGAGCTCTTCTCTTCTAATGAACACGAACAATTAATTAGTACTTTAGTCATTTAGACACCTAGGTATTATTAATATACCAGTGTTCAAGTCCTGAGGCTGACATTAGCTTACTATATGAAATTGAACTTATTCCTTTCTTGCTCCACATGTCAGCAAGGTTATTTATTTGGTCCTCCAGATCTTAATAAAAACAGAAGCTTAAAAACTTGTTTCATAAATATGCTCATTCTTGAGCTTTAATCCAATTTGAAGTAGCATGTATACATGCTACAATCATTATATGTTAGTATATCAACTATTTATACACAGAAAGGCACATATAAATTCTCATCCCTCATTTTTAAATTTTACATTTGAGAATTAGAGAGTAATAACCCATATAATTATAGTTTTAAAAAGGTCTGCTTGGTTTGCATGCACAAACATGACTATATCCCCATCCATCACTTCTACGTGTTACATTTGAGAATTAAAGGACAAGAACCTATATAGTTATATGTTAAAAGAGATCTGTAGGGTTGAAAATAATTGTGGCTCTTAGCATGTTGGGCTGATACTCTGAAATGATCTCTTATGTAAGTTTTCAGAGATTTGTTTTGAATGATTTTGCATGCACGGATATTGCAGATATATAGAACTGTAATGGAGTTATCACCCTTACTCATAGTGATAAG